GGCGTCCCTAACAAGTAGGGTAGTCTGCCGAAAGGAGCCCAAACCTACCCCCTCGTGCTGTATTACTGTCCTCATGCTCTCCGGTCTTGTGCACCTCGTCTGTAGTACGGAGAGCAGGTAAACAGTGCAAATGACAGCTACAGCTCTCAGGACAGGGATCTTGGCAAAGGCTGGGAGCCACTGGGTGAGCACTGGGGGAAGCAGGGTGGGGATGGAAAGGCAGATGAGGAAGCACAGAGTACCCCAAAACTAGGAGCAGCCTCAGAGCAAACAGTTGCTCTGTGCTTTGGAAAGAGTAAGCAGTCCTGGTCCCACTGAAGTGAGTGGGACTTTTCCTATTGACCTTGACTGGAGCAAGATTTGACACTTCTGGTAGAGATTCTCAGAGCTATAAAACACGAGACGCTAAAGTTTAAGGAAACAATATTCCATACACCTATGTCTTTTGTTACATATATATATATATATGCATAAAGAAAAAGCTGGGGGGTTGCTTTCCCTGGTGGAAAACAGCATTGTAATTCTGCCTGATACACCAACTCCCTGCCACAGCACATATGAACACAGCAATGACTTTGTGGTTGAAACAAAGGTGTTTTATCTCACTCTGGTATCCTAGTGAAGATAGCTACAGTGAGAACTTCTTAATTAAGCCACATTTCTGGCACAGAAGTACTAAGGATTAACTTTACAAAGGTGCACGCTTAAATCTATTGAATTGTACAGTTGTGAGGTTTTGTCTTTTGTTTCTCTTTTAACTCAGAATTGCATCACGGAACCTGCAAGCTTACCCTCATCCAGCTGCATACTTCTCTTATTAACTATATAACTTGCTTGCTGGCCAAGTTATTACATCTTTCCTGTGCTAGTTTTGTTCTAACTTTGCCTGTACTGTCACGAGATGGAGCAAGTATTAGCTGTGTGGTGTGCCTTTGCGTGTGAGCAGCAATGGTGGGACACTGAACGCATCAGCAAGCTGTATATTTTTGCTTGATTTTTCTTTTTCTATGTTTCCTAACCATCTTCTGTTGTTCTCTGAAATCAGGACTGTGTGATTTCCCACCAGGCAGTATCTGAACTAAAGTATTGACCAACAGCACTATAGGAAAGAAACTGCCTCCTTAATGAAGAAGCAACAGCCTCCTGCATACTTTCCCAGACTTGACTTCTTGCTGTGTCAATTATTCTTTTGATCACATGTTGTCTATAGTCTCTTAACATACTGGACAGTTTCTTTTGCAGAATGGAACTTAGGCATTTTCTACTGCTTATCTTACTAAATGTGACAGTGGAATCTGTGTGTGCAAACAGATGTGCGTGTATATCTCCTGCTCCCAGTTTTTGTTATTTTTTTGAATAAGCTGCACTTGCTCTTCACTCATCAAGGGCTGCACTATGCTGTGTAGGCTTCATTATTTTTATCTTTGTTGGCTACATTCTGATTGTGTTGCTATGCTAGTAAAAAAATACACATCCCACTCTAAGTTGGTGGTTCAAATGTAGTTCATATTAGCAGCTGAAAAAACTTATTAAAAGGTTTATGAGAAATGAATTGTCTTCTGGCTTAGACTTAACAATATAAAACCGTAACAGAAACTCCCTTTGCAAGGGCAAAGTCTGCATGAGGTATAGGAAACTGAATCGTTCTTTTCATCCGGAGAGGTGGTCTCTGCTGCTCAGAGTTGAGGAACTTTGGGATGCTGTGAGGTAGTGTGGATGTTTCAAACATGTTTTGTGGCAAAGTCGAGCTCTCTCTGGAATCCTTCACTGAGTACTACAGCAATATAAAAATACGAGTTAGATCAAATGAAAGAAAATTTGAAGATAAGGTGTATGATGTTTCCTCCTGCATGTCTGTATCAGATGGAACAAGATGTGCAGATAAGTGGCTTGTTTATCCTGAAGGAAGAATGTAAGCCTGATGAAAGATAACATAGTCAAAATGATGTCTCTGTATGTCCATAAAATATTATCTGTTTAATCAAATCCCTGTAGAGGAGGTCTCTATGCCAGTGCCATCCTTCATCTGGTATGCTTCTGTTCACTTGCTGGCTTAAAGAAAAAAATCAAGCCTTTCTTGTTCTATTTAAGAAAAGAAATCTTAGCAGTCCTATATCCTCTAGTGAAAATCTTAGTCTTGCTCCCAGTAAGGACTATGGCAAAATTCCCGCTGGTTTCAGAGGGAGCAGGATCCTTCCCAAGATCAGTTAAGGATTAAAAAAAAAAAATCGACTTCTAAAATATGCATCTCAATTAGCAAAGAATGTGGCCTGATTAGTAAAGTGTATGAAATTTCAGCTATTAAATTCTATGGCCCTGATCAACAAAGCACGCTGCACAATTGGCAGTGTATCCAGAATCTCAACTACTGTACTAGGCTCCTGCCAGATCAACCAAGCATGCAGCTGAATCAGTAAATTATGCAACTGGAGCAGCAAAATATGCACTTCTGATTGGGGGGGGGGGGGGGGGGGAAGGACATGGAAATTCTCAATTGTTTTAAATTGACGCACAATAGGTTTGTTAGTGGTCAACCTCTGCCTTAAGAAAAGAGGAAGCAAATTGTATAACTTTTACCAAGTCTTTCCAGACAATTGCTGGGCTGGAAAAGTATGTCCCTCAAATGGCTCAGTGTCTGCTAACAGCAGCCCTGTTCTTTACCAGATGTACTGCACATCTGGTTCCAATCTCAGCTGCTGCCAGGTGTGGAGGTTATTTTAGTAACACTTTAATGGGATTTTTAGGTCCAGGTAGATCTGGCTTTATACGTCACTGTAAAGCACTGTATATGCACACCAGGCTGTCTTTCTGTCTCAAGGAATGAAGGCAGTCAAAACAAATAAGGCACCTTCAAAAAATTTGAAAACTTTGTTGGCAATGAGATTAATATCTATTAATCTCTTCACTGTTTGTGAAAGTACTCTGTGCTTTAGAAGTAGAGAAATGATAGGTTTTTCCTATTTTCTCTATGTCTTGATTAATTGCCACAGCTGCATCCTGTTGTGTTTACAATGTACCTTGGAAGATGTTTACTGTGTTGAGAGTTTGGATGTTTGGCCAGTTTGGGGAGCAGCTATATTCATATATTCTGAAGCAGTAGAGCTGTTTCTCCCTAGTTTGTGTGTATATGCTTTAAAAATCCAGCCAGAGTAGCTGGTTCTGATCTTCAGAAGTTGCTTTGGCTTTAAATTATTAGTTTTGTTTTATACAGAAGACCTGCAGGTTGCCCTATTTTAATAGAGGTGCGGTTTCAGGATTTCTATAAACTGCTTTTTTTTTTTTATGTCTGGAAGTAAACTGTGTTACACTGCCTGTGCTCAAGGAAGTAATGAGAATTGCTTTGTTTTATTGTGCTGTTCACTTTAATACCCAGAAGTCTGAAACTTTTTTTGAGCCTAAGAAATATCTGGGCTTGTTTTTTTTTTTTTTTTTATTTTTTTTTTTTTGTGGGTTTGTTGGTTTTGTTTTGTTGTTCCTTTTTTTTTTTTTTTTAATCTACTACAGTTGGTACATAAAAATGGCTTGTACTGAACTTCTTACTTACCAAATTTCTGTCTCATTTCCAGGTCAGTTCAATGAATGATCCTATTTATTTCTTTTTCCTGTTTAAAATATTTCCTACTGAGTCCAGTGCAGTGCCCTTAAAACATAATTGATTTGGGTCATTGAACCTTTATTTTTCATGCATGTTAGTTTGCATCCCGCCACTGGTCTGACTGGTATTTCAATTAGAAAAATGCAGGCGGATTTCTCCTAGAGGCTAAAGTTCATGTGGAGTCTCTGGTGAAATAAGATCCTGGAGTACATATCCCTGGAACTGGGCAATGATTTGTAACTTTTTTTTTAATTCTCTGTCTGGCCAGAATGTTGTAAATCTGGCGCTCTCTTGTTAGCTTCACACTAAGCAGCAATAATGTCCGCAGTGTTTTAGTCCTGATAATTCTAATTACTGAGGCACTGAAGAAGCTGAAAGCTGAGAAGATGGACGAGGCTGGCCTCAAGTCCTGCACAGCACATGGGACTCTCTCTTTGTAGAGCTGAACCATAATTCTCTCATTTGCCAAGGTCAGCAGCAATGGAAGCAGCAGCCAAGGTAAGAGAAGTAAGCCAATGGCAGATTTCTGGAACAATGTGGGTAATCTTTATGCAGAAGGAACTAAAAGAGTGCAGTACCTCTAGAGATGCCAACCATCCTTGGGATGAAAATACTGAAGTAATTTTTGTTTCTATACTATCTAAGTAGGCTGAAGCGAACAATCCTGTTGCACTGGTTTAAAAAGACCCAGCAAACAAACTTTCCTGTGGTAACCAACAAACAATTACTATTCTCCCCATCCACTTCTTTGCATGAGAGACCAAGAATGGTGGTAAAATGTTCAAGTATCTTTCTTCCTGCCTCTCTTTCTTCTTGAAAAAAAACCAACCCATGGCATGTTTGGTACCAGAGAGTGGCTACCCAAGCAGTAGTGTAACTAGACCGGGTCTGATATAACAACTCTTCCCATCACACACTATTATTATTACAAGCTCAGTCTATGCACTGATATCTCAGGTCTATAAATAATAAATATTCAACTTGGTGTTCAGGTACTTCCTTGAGTACGGGAAGTGCTAAATAGAAAAATAATCCTCTTCCAGTTGTACAAATCCATGGCAGGAGGAGGGTCAAGTAGGGACAGGGTAGTATAGGGTCTTGCATTAATATGTAGAATAATTATACAGCAGTAGGAAAAAGCCCTACTGGCAGCCTTAGTTCTTGAACTCAGTGTGAGAACATTGTAATTCCTCTTACAAGATCTCAGCAGTAAATGGCCTTATGTTTCATTTTGAATATCCTTACTCAGGTCACTGCCAATTAAAAGGAGGTTCCAATTTTGAGAGGAGAAAAGGCTAATTTGCCTATATTTCCTTTCTAGAATTCTTGGGGCCCTACTGGAGCTCACAGAAGTCATCTACAACTTCAGGAGGATTTAAATCAGGCCACAAGTATGGCTGTCTTGGATTAGTAATGATGTACACTGAGGACAACATCTGTATTTGGGTTTGGGTGGAGTCCTTTCATGGTAGAAGAGTTGGTAATACTTTTGCAGCACCTTTCATCAGAGGATTTCAGAGTTTCACAAATATCTAATTACAGAAACTATTAAATTATGTGAAATCCTTGGTCCTGGGGGAGTACAGGCAGCACCATTATGCTTCGATATAAAGCAGGGGTGGGTGGTGTTCAAAGTGGCAAAACAAAAGCAAATTTTTCACATGCAAGCCATAACCTGCTGCGTTATCTCATTTTCATCCAGTATTTTATTCTTCTCATTTCTTTATACTAGCAGCCAGGTTGCAACATCAAACCAGCTAAACAAAATGGGCTGGTACAAGCCTCCATTCAGAACTGCTGTCTGCTCTGAAGAAGAGACTTTTGGAAGTTCACTGACCTCTTACTGATCTGTTTCTGTAGTGTTTGATTTTCATCATTCTGTTAAGGAGTAGCAGGGCTGTAGCAAGGGTCAGGTGCCAAAGATGCTGATAAGGACAGCTTCCTGAATACAGGAAATCTGGGATGAAATGCCTCCAAAAGTCCAACCTGATTCAAATCCCAGAAAGTTGGTTGCTCAGTCTTTCCAAGAGGCGTGTGCCTGCTCTGTACTGTACTTAATTTGGGATAAGCAACGAGAGATCTAATCCACTTGTTCTACCTAAATCCAGCCCTCTCCTGGTATTAGTTAGTCAATATCCACTGTTTTGAATGACTATTTAAGTTTCTATTAAAGGGATTATTTTTTTTCTGGATTTGACTTGAAATGTGGAGCCTTTACTGTTAGGATTGAGGCTTGGAGCCCAGGCTGCCCATCCTCTTGTCTTTCTGCCTCTTTTATAGATCTGCATGTGTGGGCAGTTCAGGTGAATCTGAGACCTCACTATTTGAATACAAGGGCCCCAAGGAGTTGCTCATCAGGACTAACTTTAAATGCAAGCTTAGCAGGCTGAACACTTTGATTTGCCTCTAAAATCAACAGTAACTTATTCCAGGTTTCCTCGGTGAAACTTGAATGGGGAAGAAGAAAGGATGTCTGCAAAGCAGATTTATTTGGAAAAATAAACTGCCCACTGGTTGGGACCCTGTGACAACAAACCCAGTGCTTAGTTTTGTCTCTGGCTACAGTATCTGTGATACTTTTTTCTGCTTTCTCCCATACCCTCCCTGCTGTGCCCTCATGGTCTCTCCTTATGTGTAGGCAGTAAAGTAAAATTTACAAGCATCCTGCTCTCTGAAATCCTGGCAAAGGTGGAGTCTTGGAAATTTCCCTTTGCAGAGTGCACAAGAGGAGACTAATCCTGGAACAACGAGGTGGGGAAAAGTGTTGCTGTTTGTATACCATCCAAAACTAAGGATGTGCGTTCAGACCATAACAGACCTCTAAATGGCCAGCCTCAGCTGTAGCAATGGCTCATTCAGAAGCTTGGTTAAAAATATTGTGTGAAAGGGATAGGGTTTTTCTTTGTTTGATTTTTAAGAATCACTGGCCATGTCTTCTGCATAACCCCACTTGCCTGCTAGTGACATTTAGATCCGGTTCCCAAAGAGCTGCAGTGACAACTCTGTAGCATGCTAGTGTCAATACAGAATATTTGCAAGTTTTGGCTTTCACATGTGGAACGCTTCCTTCTCCATATGTTTGTACAATAGACTTCCAACATGTGAAACGTCTGAAGTGTCTGGATGAAACAATAGGGTCATGCAGCTGTAAAATCCAAGCAAAAAGAGCTCCTTTTTTTTTTTTTTTTTTTTTTGCAAGGCCAGTTTACACATATATGTGTGCTTTTAAAGATCCAAATTTATTTCCTGGGAAGTGGCCAGAAAAATTAGCATGGAATTGCCTTGCAGTTCCTTTTTCTCCTGCTTCTGGTACTTTCAAAACAAAATGAAGCATTTTTGGGCACCTAAGCTGCATATGGATTTCATTATTTAAATTTCCCCCACCTATTTTGGAAGTTATATATATATAAAGTTAGTTTGGGAACACCAGTTTTACAGATTCCTATGAACATACATGACTTGCTGAATGGAATTTTATACCGAACTCTACAAGGAAACTTTTACTGCAGTGCTATAGCCTTTGTTTTGGTATATATTTCATCTGGTTACCAAGCAGTTCAAACAGTCCAACCATGTTTTCTACCCTTTAATTTGAGCTGCTCAGGCCTGTTCAATTTATAGAAAATGAAAACCAGATTGATCTTCTGGAAACTCACTCCTCACCCCTGTTAGTTCCCACCAACCCTATCGTTTACTGTTAATTTTTTCTATGGTGTGTTGTGTACACTTTGTTAATGAGAACTTGCTCTAGTAGAAAAAAGACCTATGCTGACCTATTAAAACCCTGAAGAAAATGGCCATGGCATCTTGAACTCTTCATTACACTGCCTTACATTTTTTTACGATGGTCCCATCATATTCATGATTATTTGCCTGAGGAGACACTCTAAATGATGCCTTTGTTTCTCTTTCTAAAGCTTTACATTTTTTTGTATGTTTGAGTTTGAATGAGGGTATTTTCTGGAAAAAAACAAACAAACAAACAAACAAAAACCAAACCAACCAAAAAACCAATCCAAAACTAGAACAGGGACAGCAGCTTTGTATAGATGTAGGATCTTATTTGATATGGCATCTTGCATCTTTGTTGGAGAATCTTTATTTTTCCATTGAGTGTCCAGTCACAAGAGTTAGCTCATTTTTTTTCCTCCTGCAAGGATTAATCTGAAAAGTCCACAGTAAAAAGCTGGTTGTTGATGTGACTTCTAGCACTCCCTGGTGGATGTTATCTTAGATATGTTGTACGCTTCCTTGGCCATAAAAGCTAATGTCGGGATGAAAGGGGAAAACCAATGTTCAGACTGCTCTCATAATGACATGTCCCACTTGCATTTGTTGCATGAACACAGCACAATAAATTTATGAGATACTAATGACAGGTTTCTGCTTAAAATAGTTCTATTTTATGAGTGTAATAGTTATGTTCCCCAAGGGAACACTGCCTAGTCAAGTGGGTCTTTCCAAGCACTGGAATTGCATACTTCTAATAGATTTTTCAAACCATTTAATAGAAAAACAATCTGGCTTTTGTCCCTTTCAGACCAAGATGAGAAGGAAATTAATATTGCAATGTGAGGCTGCAGTGAAGGATGAAGAAGAGTTCAGAATAACCTGGCACTTAGTTTCTAGTAAAAGCACCTGAATGTTAATGTATCAATGAAATTAAAGAAAAAACTGGAAATGTCCTATGCCTTGGCCTAGATCTCTTCCAGAGCATTTCTATCTGTATTTCACTCTCCTACCAATATTTTAACCACTTCATGAGCATGTCTACATCTTGGCATACAACAATTACTGAGTAATCAGTGAATACCAGGGTTACTCCTGTGGTGGTAACTTTAACCTGCAAAACTGTCAGGTAGCAAATGTACCCATACATTGCCAGGCTGCTGCCAAGCCCAGAGAAAAACTTTTCATCATAAGAATTTCTAGCCTTAAAAATCTAAATCAAAGAAAGATTTGGGTAAGGAGACAGAACTCTGCTTAGCCAAACTTACATAGCTGTAACTTGCGAGATGTCTTATAGGTGAATCCAACTCAATCTTAATTAAAGAACTGAAAGGAGAGAACTAAAACTTCTGCCTATTTATGATATGGGGAAAAAGAGAAAGAATGGTTTTTTTGTCTTTTCAATATCCTGAGATTTCACCTCTGAACCTTTAGGTAGCTGAGTTAGCCAGTAAGGCTCCTAAAGTCCCACCTTCACTGAGCGGGGGGGAAATATTCTTTCAGAAGGCTGTTAAGACCATCTCTAACTCCTGATCTGAATTTCCCTCTGCAGAAAACAACTCTGGCTTTTGTCTGCAGAGGGAGGCAAGCTAAATTAACTAGCAAAGCCCCACACCTAGAGCTGAGTGCCCTTACATAGCAGAGTCTTGCATCAGGTACTGAAGATATCTGGGTCTACTGCAGAAAATTCTGACCTTTGCTCATAACTCTGGTGTAGGTTGGTATCTCTGGCCCAATAAGGATAAACTGGTTTTGCTTCTCACCTGAATCTCCCAAAAGCAGCAGAGCATTAGGCTGCCTTTCCTCTGGTTGCTCTGAAGGCAAGTACAAAATGTCAAGTTACAATGTATGCCCAGACTGTATATACCGCTGATCATGCTAAGGAAAGCTGTGCTGTTCCAAGGGTGATTGTTCGGAAAACAGCCGCCGTTTGTGTCTCTGGGAACAAGCATTTTTTTGTAAGGAGAAAAAGGCATTGCATCTCTGGAGTTAAATGAGGAGGTCTGTTGTTCTCCACAGAAACTGGAGTGCGTTGCTGTGCCTGGTGGTTGTTGGAATACCCATGTTTGTTTTTTTGAGATTTTTCTTTTTCCCACCTCCTGTTCTCAGAGAGGATCAAGGAGGAGGGCTGGTGACCTCATGGTGAAATTATGCAATCTGCTTGAGGCCAGGTATCAAAATACACTGTAGCTGTGAAGCTGGGACCTTGTGGTGGCTGAGGGGCCTGGGCCTCCTGGTTCTAATGAGATCACTGACCTTCTCCTGCCACTTCTTCTGCAGCTGCTGTGATTCACAGAGATTTGTTGTGGCAATGGCCTGCCTCACAGTTTGGCAAGCTGCCGTAGGAAATGCTGCATCTACAGGCAGCTGCTAGGAGCTGGCCTCAGAGACCCAGGGCAGGTGAGGGTACTCTGAGCCCTGCCAGCCTCCTTCCATCCTGACAGAGCCTACATGCCTTTGTCCAAGGGTATGCAAACATTACCATCCTCCCCGACTAATTTTTTTTCCTGAGAAGTGGGGAGGTTGTCTGTTCTCTGGTGAAATAAATCAGTGCCTTCCAAGCAATCTTGTTGTGACGCTTGAGCTCAGATCTCAGCTGCAGCAAAGTCACATATGGGAAGAATAAGAGAAAATAGCATGCCTACAGTCTGAGGCATTTTTGGGCCTCCAAGTCCTGAAGTCTCGTTCAGGTTTTGCATTCTTTGCTCTAATTGCTGTGCTGCATTCCTACTCCCTCCTCTACTCCTCTAACAATATTTTAATTTTCATTGTCTGCTGCAGCAACAGGCTTTCATAGTCCCCTTCCCTTCTTACCTGCATACTTGTTCTCTTCTAATGTTCTGTAAACCATTAAAAATAATAGAAAACTTGGTGATAGGTGTGAAAACAGGGCCCTGTGAAGCTGTCTGATGTGTACCAAGAAGGACTATAAGACAAGTTGGGTTCTTTCCTGACAATGGGACTTGCAGGGTGGAAATGTCACATCCATAATCACTTTTATGTGGTGGGATGGCTGCTACCCACCACTGAAATGAGACCATCTGTTAAAAAATGCAGTTTTGGTTTTGCTTAAATCCAGCACGTTGCACTCACTTCAAGAAATATCAGATCCTTGTTTAAAAACATGAATGCAACTACTCTGATACCATAAATGTATTAAAAGCAAATGTATGTTCGGCCCAGTTTCAGAGTCCCATAACTGAACCCTGTTCAGTGCTTGTTTATGTGAATTTACTCAGGGACCAAGGAGAGAATATGATGTATGTGTGCAGGTATAGGGGGTTGTGTTGGGACAGGGTTATTGGGAGGGTGAGGGAGACACCTTAGCAAACAGGATACTCTCTTAAGTGTTGAGAACTGTTTTGGAGATCAATCTGGAAAAAAAAAATCACAGTTAAGGACTGGAAAAAGGAGACAGGGAAAACTCTCTCCTAATAACTAAGCAAAGTATCAGCAATTTTTGTTATACTCTGTCAATCCCATGTCCTGATCTACTTCTGCCAGGTCTGCTACTTTCAAGCATCTAGAGATACTTGAAGAGTTGCCCTAATACGGAACAAGAGACTCTCCTTTTGCTGTTGCCTCATGCTTTAAACAGCAAAGGCAATTTGACAGAGGGGGAATGGTGATTCCAAGGCACTTCTAGGAATTCTTGTACTGCTAGGTGGAAAAATAGGTTAGATGTGCTGCTGATGTATCTAGTTCATGCTAATGAAAGAAAATAAACCTTGCATGCAAAGATGAGCTGAAAATGCAAAATTAAGTAGAATGATAATTTTATAAAGCCTCTGATTAACTTTGTCCTCCACTTGGAAAAAGTCCTACCAGCTTTGATCTCTAGATCAGTCAGCTAGTGAAGTAAATGTGGTCACTCCTTAAACTAACAGACTGGAATTTTATATCTTACTCTTGGGACAGTGTTGCCTCAGATTCTGTATTTGATGAGCATCCAAAAAGCTCAGACTTCCTTAACTTGGAAATACTGTGCAAGGAGAACTTGAGTCTTTTGCTAGGAACCACAA